TTCTTATTTAAAATTTGAACAAATTAATGTTAAACTATTTGAAGCAATACATAGAAACAGCAGTTTAATAAAAAACGGAACAGATCAAGCGAATATCTTTCATTTACATCGAGTAACAGGAAAAAAGAAATTTGACAGTATCTGTCGACTTTCACCCCTTTCTCTGTATATTTTCGGACTAAAACATACACCATTTTGTAGACTGCATCTAGTTCTACTTGGCTCCGTCAACTAGAGCTCTTGGCTCCACGACTTCTCGAAAGAAATACCCAAATCCGTGTTCCAAAATATCCGACGTCATCGAATGCTCTAATTGGAAACTGACCTTTCCTGTAACAGATGAGGAAAACTGTTTCTGTGAGTACCATAAAGATTTTATGTAAAGATTTTAAGTCAGGTTCATTAAATTCATGAAAAGAAGAGATTTCGAAGAAAAATAACTTGGTCCTGAAAGGGTTAAAGAGTATTCAAAAATACTTTTGAAAATCATGGGAGGCAACTAACGGAGTCATTTCACAGTTTCTGGTTTGTCCATTTGAATTGTTTCATCAGATATTTCAAGTTCACAATTTTTCATGGAATCAACCAATTCGAAAAGAATTGTATCACCTGTTTTGACTTCTTGTTGACAAGCTCCTTTTTCTATACTTTGACCATTAATGGAGATCCACCAGTATTTATCATTATCGTGAGGTGCGCCGCCGATCTTGTTGATGAAATAGCTGTTATAAGACTCATAGAATGTACTATAAAAATAATCACTACATAAACTAAAAATCAAAAATTTGATAGTAGAATTCAAAAATGTATACTGACCGGTCAAAAGTAAACTTACGCAGGTTCGAAGCCGCCTCCAAAGCATTTGTTACTGTAGCACCAGAAATAGAACCACGAGTAGCATCAGGTCTTATTGTAACCGGAACCTCAAAAATACGACCTTGATCTCCATTGATTGTTACATAGACTGTTGTTCCATTATTTTCAGCATTCGCTGTACTTTGCATT